AGGGACGGAGTTTCGCTCTTGTTACCCAGGCTGGAGTGCAATGGCACGATCTCGGCTCACCACAACCTCCGCCTCCCGGGTTCAGGCAATTCTCCTGCCTCAGCCTCCTGAGTCGCTGGGATTACAGGCATGTACCACCATGCCCAGCTGATTTTTTGTATTTTTAGTAGAGACGGGGTTTCACCATGTTGACCAGGATGGTCTCGATCTCTTGACCTCGTGATCCACCCGCCTCGGCCTCCCACAGTGCTGGGATTACAGGCTTGAGCCACCGCGCCCGGCTCACAAAACATTTTTAAAAAATTAACCAGGGACTGTTAATTTTAAAAAACAGCTACTCAGGAGGCTGAGGTGGGAGGCTTGTGAGCCACGATCGGGCCACTGCACTCCAGCCTGGGCAACACAGTAAGATCCTGTCTCAGAAAACATAACAAAACAAAACAAAAACAGAAAAGCGGGCCCGGCGCGGTAGCTCATGCCTGTAATCCCAGCACTTTGGAAGGCTGAGGCCAGGGTATCTCCTGAGCTCCCAAGTTAGAAGCCTGGACCGGGGCTATATAGAGAGATCTAGGTCTCTACAAAAAAAACCACTCAGCCTTGAGTCATCTACAACGTCCTGCCTGGAAGCAGGTTATCTGGGGCCTCTGAGTCTTTGCTTCTGCGCTGGGGAGAGCCCAACCCAGCCCGAAACGTCTAAAACTGGCGCCTGGATACAGGAAGGCATCAGAGCGGGGATTGGACGGGCGCTGTCGGAAGGGCGCCGCGGCTGGCTCGCATGGGGAGATGCTCATTGGACAGTCACGTGACGGGACCCAGCCTCCCGAGGGAGCGAGGCAGGTGCGGTCACGTGACCCGGCGGCGCTGTGGGGCAGCCGCCCGCGGCAGCCATTTTGCGGGGCGGCCACGTGAGGGACGCACGTTCAGCGGGGCGCTCACGTGACCCGGGGCGCGCTGCGGCCGCCCGCGCGGACCCGGCGAGAGGCGGCGGCGGGAGCGGCGGTGATGGACGGGTCCGGGGAGCAGCCCAGAGGCGAGGGTGAGGCGGGAGGCAGTCGGGCGGAAGGAGGGCGAGCCCCCCTCGCCGGCCGGCCCCAGGATCCCTCTTACCGGCCTGGGGCCGTGCGATCTCCAAGCACTGAGTGGCAGGAACTCCCGGATCGGGCGCTGCCCCTAGGTCCTCGGAGGTTCCCGGCTCTCTGGTTCCCGGTGCCCCGATCTCTGCCTGTCTGGCGCTCTCGGATGCCCGAGACCCAGGGGATCTCAGAATCCAAGCCCCCGGGCAGGCCCGGGCTTGTCGCCCGCACCACTTCCTGCCTCTGGCGCTGCTGGGAGGGGCGGGTCTGGCCTCTGCCCCCTCAGGCCAGGGGTCTGGATGCGTTTGGTGCTCCCCTAGCCTCTCCCCGCCGGGAGAATGCAGGGTACAGGCCTAGTCTCCTGGCCTTTCTCCATCCGGGACTCAGTTGTCTGGGCCCCCATCACTTTATCTACTAGGGTCCCAGAAGTCCAGGGTCCCCAGCTCTGTCCTCCCTCAGGGACCGTGAACCTCCACAGTCTTATCCCCTAGCACCCAAGAGTCCAGGCACCTCTTCCCTTCCTTTCTCCTCTAGGGCCCACCAGCTCTGAGCAGATCATGAAGACAGGGGCCCTTTTGCTTCAGGGGTGAGTTTGAGGTCTGTTTATCGGGGCACAGATTTGAGAAGTGACACCCCGTTCTGATTCTGCACCTTCACTCCATTCTCACCCTAGTTTCATCCAGGATCGAGCAGGGCGAATCGGGGGGGAGGCACCCGAGCTGGCCCTGGACCCGGTGCCCCAGGATGCGTCCACCAAGAAGCTGAGCGAGTGTCTCAAGCGCATCGGGGATGAACTGGACAGTAACATGGAGCTGCAGAGGTGGGGGCCCCCGGGACCCAGAAGTCCAGTCATGGGGCTCCTGAGAACACAGGAGTCCCAGCCCCACATTCTCCTCCTCCCCTAAGAACTAGGAGTCTGGGCTCCACCACTCAGCCCAAACTTTCCGGACTCCCAACCCTCCTTCTGTCAGGATTTTAAAACCCTCCTTTAGGGAGTCATTTTCCCGCCCTGTTAAATGTCTGTCTTGTCCCCTTCCCTTGCCCCCATTGGCCTGTTGCTTTTCATTTCAGCCTGGCGTGGGCCTCAGTTTCTTTATCATTGCTGTGTGGTGGATGTGAGAATGTCCACCGTCTGCCTGTACCCGCTCCCCAGCACTGGTTCTCCTCTCTCCTGCAGGATGATTGCCACTGTGGACACAAACTCCCCCCGAGAGGTCTTTTTTCGAGTGGCAGCTGACATGTTCTCTGATGGCAACTTCAACTGGGGCCGGGTTGTCGCCTTTTTCTACTTTGCCAGCAAACTGGTGCTCAAGGTGGGCAGCTGCAGGGCAGTGAGCCCAGGGACGCTCCCTTCAGACCTGTAAGGACCTGGGGATCATGGGACCTAACCCTGCTGTGGCCCAGTAACCACAGAGGGCTTGGAGAGAGATGGCCATGCACTGGGGGTCGGCTCCATCATTTATTCATTCAACAAGCATTTACTGGGCCTGTAACGTGCCAGGCCTGTACTTGGCACCAAGGACACAGCACCGTACAAAGCAGGCTACGTCCCTACTCTCAGGGAGTTCATGTGCAGGGTGAAGTATAGTAGGGGGTGTGATTTAGCAGAGTGGTCGGGAAAGACTTCTTTTTTTTTTTTTTTTTTTGAGATGGAGTTTTGCTCTTGTTTCCCAGGCTGGAGTGCAGTGGCGCAATCTTGGTTCACTGCCACCTCTACCTCCCAGGTTTAAGAGATTCTCCTGCCTCAGCCTCCTGATTAGCTGGGATTACAGGTCTGCGCCACCATGCCCAGCTAATTTTTTTTTTTATTTTTAGAGATGCAGTTTCACCATGTCAGCCAGGCTGGTCTCAAAGGCCTGACTTCATGATCTGCCTACCTCAGCCTTCCAAAGTGCTGGGATTACAGGCATGAGCCATTGTACCTGTATTCAATTTAAAGTATTTTCTATTTATTGTTATTCTCTGGAGAATGGATTGATTAGAAGTGTTTGGCAATCTATACTTAACTTTTTGTTATTGCTTTCTATCTTAATCCAGCAGAGGTCAACTAATATTCTCTGTATAATTTCAATCCCTTGAAATTTACTGAGGCTTGTTTTATGATTTGGCATATGGTCAACTTTGCTATGTACCTATGTGTACATAAAACAATTTTAATTTGAGATGTTTATTATAGTGTATAGTGTTCTGTATGTGTAATTAGTTTAATTTAAAGTCTTGTTTAGGCAGAGCGCAGCGCTCACACCTGTAATCCCAGCACTTTGGGAGGCCTAGATGGGTGAATCTCTTGAGGTCAAGAGTTTGAGACCAGCCTGGCCAACATGGTGAAACCA